CCCTCCCTCCCTCCCTCTCTCCCTCCCTCCCTCCCTCCCTCCCTTGTTAGGAAAATGTATATTTTAATATATTGCAGACTTTACATGATCTTAAAATACAAATGGAATGTTTGACTGTTTGAAAGTTGAATCCAGTTGTGCTTTCAACAGAGTTTAGAGAGTTTAGGTCCATCTGTGATTTTTTTTCCCCCCTTAACACTTTGTGGATGACCGTTAATGTTTGTTTGCCTCTCTCTTCCACTATCTAGCTCCTCCCCGTATCCTCAGCCTACTGGAACCTATTCGGCATATGGAACACTGTATCGAGTTTTCGGTGCATGGGAACCCTCCACCCCAAATTCATTGGCTGTACAACGGCCAGTTTCTTAGACAGACGGCCTTCATCCGCATGGATGTCTACCAGGGTGGGGATATCACAGATGGCTGTTTGCTGTTCAACCATCCCACTCATTACAACAATGGCAACTACACCATCGTGGCTACCAACTACTTGGGAACAGCCAACCAGACCGTCAGAGGACATTTTCTGGAGAAACCATTTCCAAGTGAGAGATTGACAAGTTTATAGCAAGGGGCGGGCAAGCTTTTTTGTAGCGCGCGCGCGCACACACACACACACATATATGGGTTCCATGTGCACTTTTTTAAAAATGCATTTTTTTTAATGATGACATCTATATACTCCAAAGTCACCATGGTTAATGGGGAAACCAAGATTGATGTTCAGCCTCAGTCATGGAAGTTCAACTGAGGACTTTGGACCATCACTGCCTCTTGGCCCAACCCATCCCATCCCAGATGTTGTTTTTTTTTTAATATGGGGATAAATATATGGAGAGATTGTAATGAACATCAGTTTGAGCTTTTGTTGAAAGTCGGGGTATAAATCTAAGAAATGAAATGATATAGGGCTAGCCTCCTTCATTTCAAGAGTAATGCTGAGAATTAAAGGGGTGAGTGCTTATATCCCATTTTGGTTGAGACATATAAATGCAAAACATAAAGGAAGCTTTATAATAGGAGGATCCAATTAGACAATATGCAATATTCATATTGTGCTGCTCCACTTGGGTTTTTAAAAAAAATTACTCTATTTGCACTGTGTAACTCTAAGTGCACATCAAATTTCTTTACAGCACATAATAAAGTTTGTTTACATGCAATGTGGAGTACCTAATTTCTTCTCTATGGAATGGACTTTCCCCCCCCCCAAAGATGAGGACTGAGACCAGTGACTGAGTGTTGATTCTAGTCCAGTTATTGTCTCTCAGCCTAGCCCACCTCTAAATGATGGTTACTGTGAAGAACAAATTCAACTCCCGAAAGAAAGGTGGGAAGTATCCCTAATGAATGAATAAACAATAACATTAGGACAACAACCAAAGTGGAACAGTACAATGTGAATGTTTAATTTAATTTAATTTTGCCTTCAGTGCCATTTGTAGTAAATAATTTACTACAGTGTTTCTGTTACTGAGGAAGATTTTTGCAGCTTTTTTCCAAGTAGAAGAAAAGAGAAATTCCTCTTGGATTGAACGGTGATGGTGCTCCTTCTGTTCCTTCTTTTCCTAACAAATCTCACTAACACATGAGTCAGGTCCAGTTAAGGTTTCAATTCTTGGTTTCCAAACCTCTTGGAGAAGGCCCCACTTGGAAAGCTAGCGTAAACAGCATATCCCAGATCTAACTCTTATCTCCCTGCCCCCAAATAAAAACTGAAGCTACTGGATCAAATCTGGTTTCAACTGAACCACTTCAGATACTAATCAGTGTGTGTGCAAAAGACATCCAGACTATCTGATTTGATCTGACAGTTTTAACCGAATCAGTTGCTTTGATTCAGAAAGTTGATTAAGAGTTTGATTGGATCACATTAAAGTTAAATTTCCAAAATGAAATGTCACATACACTCAATTAACTGATAGAATTCATCACCTAAACTTCAGAGGAAGGGTCTCCTTGTGGATGACCTTTAAAAGGGGGTTTTTGGTAATGAATGGAAGGCAAACCTATTAGAGCTATTTGATGCAGTAACTAAATGGAACCTCCGTGTTCAGAAGGATAATACCTTTGAGTAGTGGATCCGGGGAGATACATAAATGGGGAAAGTTATCAGTAGGTCAGCTGTTTGGAGATGATCTGGCTGACTCTTGTTGAAAGTTGGATGCCAGACTAAGCAATCTTTTGTCCAGTTGCCCATAAAGGGCAAAGACAAGAAGGAATGGATGGAAATTTTTCAAAGAAAGATCCAGCTTAGAACTAAGGAGAAATTTCCTGACAGTGAGAACAATTAATCAGTGGAACAGTTTGCCTCCAGAATTTATCAGAAGTTGTCAGTGTTTCATCACTGGATAGACTGGATAGTCATTTGTCCAGAATGGTATAGGGTCTCCTGTTGGACTAGAGGACCTCTAAGGTCCCGTCCAACGTCGTTATTCTGTAATTCTGCTCTTCTATGCAGGAATAACTGCCCCCCAAAAAGTTGCTCTGTCTATAAGAGCATGAATAAGAGTCTGTAATTAATACTTTTTCTCTTTTCAACAAATGAGGTTGTCGTCCAGCTAAAGTAACAGGATTTACATAGTGCCTTCTTCTTTTTATCTTAAGAAAGTCCTAGTAGAATTATTTTTTTTTCAGGCATTTAGACATACCGTACATATTACCATCTGGCCTGCTGTCATGAGAATGCAGAGCATCTATTAGTCACCTCCCACAATAAAATTTGACATTTTGTAATATAGGGAAAGCACAATGCCAGAGATATCCTGATTTATTATTTATGTTTTGTCTTCATGGAACCTTATTAATGATATATAGAGCGGATTAAAAATCCAAATCTTATGGTTGAAGAAGTTGTTAAGATAGAGAAAAATGCGTTTAGAATTTCTGGGCTGATAAGCTTCTAACTAAGGTGCAATTCGCACAAATAGCAAGTGTTGTTTTGAAACCATTTCCCCATGCTGGCTGTGGAATTCAAGGAGTTAAAGTCCACAGGTCTCAAAATTGCCAAGATTGGACACTCCAATATTAAGCTCTACGGATAAGCAGAGTTTTTGGTTTGGAGACCAAATACGCACCCCGAATTCCACTCTGCATCTAATTAGCTTGGAATACTTTAAGTATAGGTACTCACATACCACTTCTAAAAAGAGGAACTGTATTGCCAACAAGTTAGTTAATTAAAGGGGATGACTCTTGCATATGGTAGATTTTAATGCAGCTAATATAATTTAAATAAGATTCTAGTTCACCACCCTGTAATGGGGAAGACTGTGCCTGATTATTAAATATTAACAATTGATAGCTAAATTGGGCTCTTTTAACTCCCATTATTTTGTAAATCAGATTTGAAGCAGCCTTCTAAAACAGAAGGATTTTTTTTTATAGAGGAATGTTGTCTGTAATGTCCTCTGTAAATTAGGGCATGTGGCTACTTCCTACTCAACACCCACCCCTTCATATGCCTTCATATACCCTATTTCAAAACTTATTTGAAAATTCTTTTAAATCAGAGAAGCGGAATTCAGCCAGTAGCTTACTGTTTACTAATAGCATCACAATTGTTCTCCAATGATACCAATAACCATTCTCTCTCTCTCTCTCTCTCTCTCTCTCTCTCTCTCTCTCTCTCTCTCTCTCTCTCTCTCTCTCTCTCTCTCTCTCTCTCTCCCCTCCCTTCGTCTTTATCCCTTTTTTGTTTTTTACAGGCATTTCAGATATCTTTGTCACATGTAAGTTTTTTCCTTGCCTGTTTGATCACACTACAATTCCTCTGTATTACTCAGACCTTTAACCAAGGATTTTTGTTTTTGTTAGAACAGTAAGAACAACTTTTAGGCAGGGATCAAAGGGCAGGACATCCCTGGAAAAGAAATTGAGCATAATAATTTTATTAAGTTATATGCCACCTGTTTCTCAGTAGCTCTGGATTGCTTACCCAAATATTTTTGAGGGTATAAAGCAGGGGTCTTCAAACATGGCCCTTTTATGACTTATGGACTTCAACTCCCAGAATTTCTCAGCCAGGCATGCTGGCTGAGGAATTCTGGGAGTTAAAGTCCACAAGTCATAAAAGGGCCACGTTTGAAGACCTCTGGTATAAAGGCAGCAGGTTTGCTAAAACTAACATGTGAGTTGTGTGGATATCTCCCTTGACATCACACAGAGGTTTTAGGGCATACAATCAAAGCACTGAGAGGACCAGTTTGAAATAACTGCTCCCTTTAACCTGATGATCAGACCTCTAGTCATGTTGTATGTTGACATACTGTAGATCAGGCATGTCAAACTCGTATTGGGTTAGTTTTGCCATTGCTTCCATGTGGCGTGTCTGGCCCACGGGCCGGCAGTTTGACACCCCTGCTGTAGATCAAAGACAAATGATTGCTCGTCTTTAATTTTTGGGAATCTGGTGTTGCATCCCTTCCAAAAATGATTTGTTTCCCATTGGGGAATGAATTAGATTTGGAATGAAGTGACACAATCCTGTGCATGCATTGTGTGCCTTCACACCATCCCAGCTGGAGTTGCTTCGCATACCTGTGGCTTATTGAACAAATCACATTGTATTGGTTCTGCATTGCATAATAAGTTGTAAACTAACCACCATGGCCAAATTAAGGCAAGACCAGAACTAACCAAACGATGGCACGTGGGGTGATGTTTTAATCCAACTCCTCTGGATAACATTTTTAACTTCAGCTTGATGGAATATAGCCTCAATCTTGAAGCTTGCATCTGCCAGGCGTTAAACCTGCTCACATAATACAGTCTAACTGAATTGGAGGGCATGAAGATGGGGAAAATATTTGGAATTCACTGAGGTTGAACAATGAAAAGCACTTCATCATGAAAAAAGAGCTAGAGTGCACACTTCACCCTGGAGAATTTCAGTGCCATTCTCTTTTGCTTTGGAAAAAAAAAGATTTAAAGTGCATTTTCTTTCATCCAATTGAATTTTTCTGCAGATCACACTAGTGCAGGGGTAGGCAACCTTGGCTCTTTTATGACTCGTGGACTCCTGAGCCAGCATGGCTGGCTCAGGAATTCTGGGAGTTGAAGTCCACGAGTCATAAAAGAGCCAAGGTTGCCTACCTCTGCACTAGTATTTCCTAATTTGCTCCTAAGGTTATGAGTGCTTATATAGCTTATATAGCTAAAACAGTGGCAGCTTTTCCTGGGATTTAATGGAAGTAAAAATGAAAGAAATGAAGGGTGGTGAGGGAGGGAGGGGAGAAGGCAAAAACAGCCCTGTTGAAGATGGTACCTTTTCTCCTTGATCACGAAAGGGAAAACTAGACGAGTGAAGGAAAAATAATATTGAGAAAAGGCATGGCTGGCTGGTCACCTGACTAGACACATTCCATACTGTGACATTTTGCTGTAGGTTTCACACCCTAGCTACCGTATATCATTTCAGAAGAAAACATGACAGCCCCTGAAAAGTGGATATGTTCCTTTTGACAAACAAGTGTATATTGTCATCAGATTAAAGTTAGCAGGTTTTTTTTTTTTTTTTTTAAAAAGGGGGGGGGTAGGAAAAGAGAGAGGGCTTCCTTTCTTTCTTCTTTCATGCAAATCAAGATTGCAGGAAAAAAGAACTTGTCCCAGGGACAGACAACTGAAATTTAGAACTTCTATCAGACGTGGAGATAGTCATCGGTTCAAGAGTTGGAGTCTACATGTCCAAAGGCAATATACCACCCAAGACAGCCCATCTTGGTCCTTCCAACTCTAATTCAGCATCCTTTTAGTTTTTTGTTATATTTTTAAGTTGATTGGATGCATGGGTTAGGGTGTTACTCTGAAAAGATGTTAACTTAAAGTTCCCTGTGTCTTTTCACCAACGGATGGCAGAGATTGCTAATTTAGAAAGATCAGAACCATTAATTGAGATAAATGTGACAGCAGAGAGGTAGGAGTGTCCAAATAACAGCATCAACCTAGAAATAAAGAGACTATTTTAAAAGCTTCCTGAGTAGAACAGTCATTAATACAACTTGGAGTAGCGAGCAGGGGAAAAAATGGGAAAAACATAAGTACAGGATGTTTCAACTGGATGTGGGAAGGAAATAAACTATAAGACAATATTGGGGTAGGTGTAGGAAGGAATGAACAGGGATTTTTCTAAGAATTAATCATATAGTATATATATACCATGTGAAATATAATATCTTGTATGTACGGATTTTTCTGAGCTGCGAAATAAACTTTTTTTCCCCTTTTGTTCCTTTGGTTTCAGATGAGTACAGTCCAAGTCCTTCCCCTCTTATCACAGTGACACATAAGCCAGAGGAAGACACCTTTGGGGTAAGATCTTTGTGACTTCACAGTGGGAAATAATTTTATCTTCACCACTGATTTATATTTTGGGGGTTTCTGTGGGATCGCAGCTTAACACCTTGTCTAGCCAGAAATATCATATGAACCACAATTACTGAGTTCTCTTGAGATGGTAAGTCAAAGCCCAGCTAACTCACTCATGTCATCAATAATCCTGGCCAGGGCTCTGGTTTACTAGCTGCTTCCATGTTGTAAGTTGATCTAGCACTGTGCTGCTGGATAGAACAAAGTCATGTGTATGATTGCAGAATCAAACAAATATCATCCTATCATTCTCCTTCAGAGGACTCTTCTTTAGAATGCATTCCTAGCAAAGGAGATTGCTTGACAGGCTCTTGGGGGAAAGATAATCAGACATGCCTTTTTGAGTTGCAAAGAGTCCTCCTTCCTGCCTGATTCCAAGAAGGAAACTAAATACGTCCTTATTTCTCAGGAGCATGGGAATTCACAGAAGGTCAATAAGTTGGACTGCCCGTTTATGAAACTAAAATGACTTCCCAGTGAATAGAATCCTATTCAACACACAGAGAGACACGCTCACACTGAAATAAGGACTTGGATCGCTCTAGGATCTTGCAGATGAGCATGTTTAAGCTGTTGAAATAAAAATAAAATATTATTTTATTGATATTTTAAACATCATCATCTCTCCCTCAGTTGGAATGCTACATTACCTTTATATCCAGGCTAGTGCGAGAACCAAATATCTTTAGCTTATTGGTTCTTCTGGGCTGTGATCTATTAATTTAGTTTGACAATTGCTTCTGACAATGCCAATATTTCAGATGGGAAAATAGATACTGTTGAACTGCAGTTCCCAACATATCCCACCACTGGTCATAAATCGGATCCCTAACCTAAAGTTGTCCTGTTGTAAAGGACAGTTTTTGCAGTCCAGATCTGCTCCCCTGCCCTTGATCCCTCTCCCTTCTCCCCTTTCCGATTTAATGCCTAGATTATTTATTTGTTTTGATGGTAATTGAACTCTAAAAAGGCTTCATTTTTGCCTCATTGTTGACCGGTAAGCAGCATATCTGGGTTTGAATGTTCTCTGCCATAGGGGCAAAGGGATTATGCAATTAAGTGCCTAGGAATTGTATGTGAAGAAAAGTGGGTGGATAAACTGGTGGTTTCTATGCTAAATCTGAATATGGTTGCTGCATTCGCATCATCATCTATCCCTGAACATGTAGACCATATGGTGGCTTACACGATGACCTGATTCATCTTACTTTGGAAGTCACCAGGTTCTTTCAATTCACAGGGCTGTAACCTTGCGAAGCCAATTTAGGTTAGTGTAGTATTTGAATCAAGCTGCATTCAGCTTGTAGAACACAATGTGCTAACTCTCAATAAGATCCCTCCATACCTGATTCGTAATAAGTAAGTCTTCCCATTCTTAGGGCCATTTGATAAACACAGCAAAAATGGATGTTCAAGAATTCCCTGGAGTATTACCACTTTGGAGAGAAGAAAGATGCTGGGGGAAAAAAATAGTTGAATGAGCAAATGGAATAACAGGGCAGAGAAAAATGTCATATCTCGTTTTTGCTGTGGCGCTCATGTGCATTGCATGCAGTTTCTGTTCCTTAAGGACAACAGTCACGCAAGTTTCCCTTCCCCGTGCCTGTTTTGGCTCCCCAACTTTTCCACTTGTTGAAAACAAAGCAGGAAGAAAAAAACAACAACCAACCTAGGCAGATCTGATAAAACACAACATGTATAAAATATGAGGATTATTCCAGACTGGAGAAGACAATATCCTGCAAGCAAGAAAACATCTCTTTATTTTATGCAATGTGTATTTCATTTTGAAAAGAAGTCGGGTTTACAATCAAAGCACAGAGTAGGAAGAATATTTTCTCAATAAGGAAGAGTAGATCTTTTAAGACAAGTCTTGCTGTGCACCCAAAAATGAAGGATAAATTATCTGTCAATATGTTTACCAGAAGTATCTGAGCTGCCTCCAGCAAAACTAATTTTCATTCTTTTCTCTTTTGCTTTTCTCCTGCCTTATTTATGGATCCCATTGCTATCTTTCCACCCTTTGCAAAACTTTTTCAGCTATACACAACATCTCCTGTTGTTGGCCTTGAATGTTGTTTGTGGGTCATTTTTCCCATTACATGGCAGAGAGCCTGGGCCTCCCACTTTGATTGGGGCCTCAGCAAATCTTGTCTTTCTGCTAAATATGCCAACGTGGCAGACCTCTTTGTCAAAATGACTTGACCTCACTCACACATTGCTTCATTTGTAGTTGTTAGTATACTCACCCTTTACAAAATCTGGAATGTGTGAAATGCCCTCAAGTGGTTAACATCATGTTTCCTAACAATTTGCAGATGCATCTAATGGCACTCTTACACAAGTCCTTTCTTATATCAAGAATTACTGTCCAACACAAACAAGATTTTAACATCTCAGGAAGGGCTGGTTGTGATTGTTTAAAGCAAATATGTTCAGTAAGGCACAAACACTTATACGATAGAAATCTCCTCCATCAGATGAATCCAATTCCAGTTCATAAATTCTGTTTTATAAAGGTGACTCTTTAAGGTGTCAAGATGTTCAGGTGCTTTAAATATAACTGCCCTTCTGGATAAAACTATCACAAAATGCCTTTCTTTAACTGGTACAAGTATTGTCCTGATTATAATGCATTTTTTTTCCTATTAGTACTTCCCATTTATGACTGTGGTCCTTTGCTGCCTTAAAATGTCTGCCAGCTGAATTGATTATCCTGTAAAGTATCATAAGCCCGTTGCCATTTTGAGGGCTGTTGGTTTAAATATATAATGTTTTGATTTAAATTGCCTTCAGCTTCTTCATTCCCCCTTGCTTGTTTTGATGCAGAAGGAAAGTTCACCAAGGTGTACAAATGGAAATGGAAATTTGTTCCCAGGAGTGATTGATGCTAGGTTTCAGATTAGCTCCATATCTTTGACCATCATTGGCTCCAAACAAATGCCCTCTGTTGAGCATTAAGAAAACTACACACAGAGAGAGAGAAAGAGACATATACATACACACACACACACACACACACACACACACACACAGAGAGACATATATATTAGTTTCCCTTCACTATTTATTGTATCTATATTATGTGACAGTTTCTGTAAATAAATATTTTTTTATCAGTGTAAGAGAATTCTTTAGCCAGTTTATCCTTGTTTAGACCTAACTGGAGCAACTTTAAGAGTTGTGGACTTCTTAACAGCGCAGAAAGCCAGGAATTGCAGTTGGTACCTTTGGAGTCTTTTAAATTAAATTAAATGATGATGATGATAATTCATTTGTTATAATTCATATACTTGCAGTATTAATATTACACATAGATTATTATCTGTAGATCTTGGTGACATAGTGATTTTATAATTCATGTTAGCTTTTAAAATTTTATCTTCAGTTATGTCTCTATACTTTTGCCCAGATTATATACATTTCCACTCTATTCACTTTTCTCTTTAAAACTTGAAACTTTCCATCTTAGTTTTAAGACTGTTACACTGTGAGTCTCTTAGATTCTGTTGGAGATGGGCAGCACCTAAATGGAAACAAATAACAAAAACCTAAATAATGGTATTAAAATTTTAACTTGTACAATTGATCTAAATTTTAGTGTGGTTTTTTTGTATCCTTTTGATAATTATCTTAGTGGGATGGCTGTAATTATATTTTTTTGAATATTATATTGGTGGATGACCAAAATAAAATGACTTGATAACTTGGTCCAACAGCAAAGGACACAATAATAATTGAGCTCAAATATTGGAAGGTATTTAACTCAATTAGTTGAATTCTAGAGCAATAATATATTTAATTAAATGTTTTTAAAGGAATTAAACGGTGTGCCAAACCTTTCTAATACTTAACTCTGAAGGATGTGTTATTAATTTAATAGGGAAAAAAGTTGAATGTGTGTTCCTTGTTCTGCTATAGCTTTATTCTTTTCCTTGCTCCTGACAGGTTTCTTGTTCTGTCATGTATTTCTTAAGTTTGTCTATTTCTTTCTCTCTGAATCATATAAATATGCATATAAATATGCTTCTCTTTCATTTTAATATATAAGAGAAACTTATAATATTTATGTTGTTCTTGCTTTATTTGACAAAAAGACAGTTTAATTATTTTAATGATTTAGTTACTTTCAGAATTCTCATCAGTGACTGTAAAAATAAGATTACTTCTATTAAGACAAAGTGATTTTTGAGCATTCAAGAGCCTCTAACATCCAGGATGTTCTTTATAGGTATCTATCGCAGTGGGTCTTGCGGCTTTTGCCTGTGTTCTCCTGGTGGTCCTATTTATTATGATCAACAAATATGGACGGCGATCAAAGTTTGGAATGAAAGGTACAAATCAATCCTTTCTCCCCGCCCCCTTTAATGAACTCAATGCTGGTAGAGGTGGTGGTGGGGGAATCTAAATCACAGGTTTTCTGGATGTATTTTAGTTCAGGGATTGCAAATAACTTCATATTGGGAAGACAACTGTGTGGTGGAAATAGGTATATATTAAAACTAGTGGAACAAAATCAGGAAAGTCCCAAGTATGTGCTGTATTAAAAAGAATAAGATTCAGAAAAAGCAGAACGTCTGGGCCAGTGATGGTGAACCTTTTAGAGACCGAGTGCCCAAACTGCAACCCAAAACCCACTTATGCATCGTCGGGTGCCGGGTGGGTGTGGCCCATTGGGTGGGCGTGGCCCATTGGGTGGGTATGGCCCATTGGGTAGGCGTGGCTGCGGTGGTAACAGCAGACAGGGTGGGACTAAAAAGTTCAATCAATCAATTCCAACTTTGCAAGATCTTTTTTTTTCCCGCGAGAAGTTGAAATTGACTGATTGATTGAACCTTTTTTTTTGTACACAGTGGCAGAGGCCTAAAGTGAAAAGGTTTTATAAAACCCAGCCTAGGACTGGGGCGATGGCACGCGTGCTCACAGAGAGGGCTCTGAGTGCCGCCTCTGGCACCCGTGCCATTGGTTCGCCACCACTGGTCTGTGCCATTGGAATTGAAGTCCACAAGTCATAAAAGGGCCAAGTTTGAAGACCCCTGATGTTGATCCAGACTGATTCATTTATCTCAAAATCATCTTTGGACATTTGGTTCTAAACCCATCCCTTCTAGCCACACCGCTGATTGGTTTGCAAGGCACACACTGTCCTCTTCCTCTTTCTTCCTTGTAGGTTTAACTATTTGAGTATCCAGGTCTAGAGAGTAAATTGAATTGCAAGGACATTGCTAGTTGCATAAAGTGCCAAATCTGGTGGGCATTCAAATGTCGGCATTCTTATGAAAGCAGTCGACCATCATTACTAGCCAAAGTCCATGGTAAGGAAGTAATGGTGATGACCCTCTTCTCTGCTCATGCATCTTTTGAATACCCAAGTAGTAGGCTCTTTCAAGCACAATATATGTCCACATATATCCTCATAAGGAATGATTTAACATTTGCAGTGGATAATTGTTGAAAGCATTTAGAAAAACGTGAGTGTGGCTAATGTCATAATTGCACTGTGCTTTTGGGAAGAATGTGGAATAGGTGTAGCAAATAGCTGGAATTCATTCTCTTTTGGCTACACCTCTCTGTCAAGCTGTAGCCTCCACTATTTCTCTCATAAATCACAGACATAAACTTCCCTCTGCAGAGTTAATTTTTCTTCTTTTTAGCGGCTTTTTATCAGTGAGGCTGTTAAGCAGAATCTGCAGTACATGAAGGTGTCTCAAACCAGGGATGGCTGCATTTTCCTGCTTTTGATTTATCTAGTCAATAACTCTCTATAAGTAAAAGCAAGTTGAAAATCTCCCTATTTACTTATGTGGTTATTCCTTCCTACTTTTCCCTACCTCCCCCTCTGCTCCCCTCTTCCGTGTTCTGGCTTTTGATTCAGGGCACTTCTCATGAAAGATGATGCTGAGATATTAAAGCCGAAATAAAGCCCCCACATTCCTCCATTGTGGTTGCCCACGTGACTGGTTTTAATTGGGTGGGATTCCTCCTTCATTAGTATTGAGTTAAAGCTCATCTGGGTTGTTTGTTAGCTTAATGGCACACATTTCAATTTGCTAAGCTGAGTCAAACAAACAATAATGCTCTTTCGTCTGCAGGGTATTACATGGGGAGCTACCTCTCCAAAACACCCTTGTCCAGATTATTAATCAGGCTGTGCATCAGTTGACATATTTTTGCTTGTGTTTCCAGGCACAATTCAGAGTGCATGCCTTGAATAGCAATTAAGTTGGTCATTGCAAGATTATTAGGCCATCTGGGGAGGGAGGGAGGATTGAGATTTGGCGAAATAAGCACGGATTCCCCTTGCCAATTTTGGAAGGTATTCTCTAATGGGAGTGGGATCTAAGTGGAGATAATTGGCAGTCATTCTTTCATTTGAAGTATTGCGTCTCTGCTGCGTTAATGGGATCCTATGTGTAGGATTTACTGAGGATCTCCGTAGACAAGTCCTATGTGTAGTTTGGTAGCTGCCATTCTCCTTCTGTATCAAGAACCCTCTTTTCATGATAATTAATAAAAAAAATTCTAAAGCACTGTTTTCTGCATTGTGAGATGAGGAAATAATGAAAGCTATAATTTAAGATGAAATCTGCAACATAATGTAGGAATATCACAGGTTTAGTTTAGTTTAGTTTAGTTTTATTAAATTTATACCCCGCCCTTCTCCCGGAGGACTCAGGGCGGCTTACAGCCAACTTAAAAACAATAATACAATATAATACAAAATTTAAAAGTAATTAAAAATAGATATTCAATAGGCCGCTTATACTAAAAATTTTGTTAAAAACCAATTTAAAATACCCCTAGGCCAGTCCTGCCCGCTGAA